CAAATTTACAACAAAAACACTACAATTAATGCCGTAGTTAACTTTTCTAATTTCGAAAAGTGTAGTGCTAACTTGACACACGTCAATAATAAGGGACTGGCGTTGATGACTGTAAGTGGAGAGAGAGAGAGATTTTCTTTGTTTGGGTTTTGATAGACAGCGGGAGTTACATAAAATATTGTATTTACACACGTCCAAAATTTGGGTTGCGGAACAGTGAGATACTGCTAGAAAATCTTTAACAGTAAATTTTTATGTAGTCGTTTTTAAGGGATGATAATAAGCTATAAAATTTAATAAAAAAAAAATACCTACTATAGAAAATATCTCTATTCGGCTTTGATTTGTGAATGTTAGTTGATTATATTGCTGCCGTTTATAAAACTGATGAGTGCTACTAACGTAAGGATATTAAAAAAAATATATTTTTTTTCAAGTTCAATGTTGTTTAGAACATATCTTAGGAATATTTTTTTAAGCATAGGGAAAAATTTAAAATCTTGTAACTAAGTACTACTAGAAGAAATTGATGAATTGGGTTTTCGATTAATATCGTGCCCAAATTATTTTGTAACGTGCCATCAATGGCACGCGTGCCTTTAGCTAGCCAGCCCTGCCCTATATCTACATATCTTTCCCATATATTTTCAGCTTAGATAGGGCATTTTGAGCAAAACTCTGAGATAGGGCGTTCTTGGGTCATTTTCTGAGATAGGGCTTTTGGAACCGTCGATATTCAGAACTTATATATGTAGAATCTATTTGCTTAAGAAATCTATTACGAAAAGGCTCTCAAAAAAACTTAACCTGCCCAAGTATGGCACATGTTTCAAGTTATCCTGTGGATATCAAGGCTTAATCTTAAATCTATCTCCTCTATGCTTAAGGCTTTACTATGAATGAAATATTTCTGTGCTCAACAACTTGATAAAGGCCAATATATTTTGTTTTTGTTTAACGGAAATTGTGATTTCTAGAATATTTAAGTGCAGGTATTCGACGTCTTTTGCCAATGCTTATATCGATGGTCCTCTAGCAATAACGACACAATTCAAAATTCAAAAAATAAACTGTTAAGTGGCTCATTTCCCTAATCCTTTTCTAATCCATGTTTAATCCTTATTAAAGAAGTAGTAAGGAATACTGCTGTAATTAGTAAGGATTAGAAACGTTATCTTCTTAAGAGTGGTAAGAGTTTTTAATTTTTTAATTTTGACTTGTGTCGTTATTGCAGAGGACCATCGATATGTATGCATCAGACATTAATTTATTCTGTTATGAGAAACATTACTGAATGTATGTGCATAACTTGTACATTTCCCAGTAGATAATTTCAGGAGCTATAAGAGGCCTTGAAGGGCTTCTGCGCTCGCTACCCATAGCAGCGCTTCCAGAAGAATTTTTGAAGGAGCTCTTCTGAAGCTGCTTCGTTAATTCATAAAAATCACACTTCATTAAGATTTTTATTCAAGATTTGTATCAAATATCGAGCCCTGACCGCCAAAACGATATAAGCGTAATTTTAAAAAAATTTGTTTGTGTGTGTTGTGTGAACACTTCTGCACCGTACTTTTTGGTTTTTCTCTCTTTCTCTGTGAACAATTTAGTTTTTTGACAGTTTTACCACTTTATAACCACCATAAACTTATACTTATATACGTACTTAGGCATGCAAGGAAGCACTTTTTCAGCTCTTCTGGGATAAACTCTTTAGAATGACTTCATATGTGAAGGCCTACCTAAATAATCTTCTGGGCTGTAGTATACTTTACAATCAAAATTTAAATATCCTTGATTGAAAACCTGATTCCTTAACAGCCTTGTGTACTATCATAAACATCTCCTGCGATGACTGACTTTTCGACGCACCTCTTTTGACTTATATTATCTTCCGCTTACCACCAGTGTTGCCGTTTTAGACCTTTGGTGGCTAGATTTAGCTACCACATTATTTTTTTGGCCACATAAATTTAAAATTGCCCCTAGCCCTTTTTTTAGCCCTTTGGAGAATTTATTCATACTGGGCATGAAAAAGTTGTATACATACGTTTAATTTGATCTAATTTTTTTGCATTTATTTAAGAGATGAATTTTTAAACTAAGAAAGACTGATATATATACATCTGTGTATTGTATGTTCCTTACGTTTTTATACAAACATACTGTAAAAGTGTTAGGGCTGTTTTTTTTTAACTTATCTATTAACGATTTAACTATAGTTTAAAATAGATAAGTTTACAGCCCTTAGGGTCAGTTTTTCAGTCAAGTTTAAATTCAGATTAAGTAAACCGAGTTTAAGTTGAACAGCTGGCTTACATTTGATTGGCTGATCTTAGTTAACACCAGCCAGATCGGGCGTTTAAACTTAGTTTAAACCACGGCTGTACACTGAAAAAACTGGCCCTTAATATGCTTCATTTGTTAAATGGCCTATCAAGTCGATTGACCGTGTATGTTCTTGTGATTGTACCAGCTGCTGGTGCGACTTCAAAAACTATTTGAAAATTTTTTGGAGGAAATTTCTTGCACTATATGAGTCATAGCCGTGTTTGTGGAATATTAAGTTCAAGATATTACAGTTGTGAATTAAAAAAAAAGCAATGCTTAACAAAATGGCAGCAAGCTGGTGTCGTATATTTCCCCTATTATACAAAAAGGTTTTAGGTTGGATAAAATATTAGCTATTTTCCAGGGTTCATTGTGTTTCTATACCATTACTTATTGAAAATGTTTGCGTTTATACTTATATATGATTATGTAAGTAAATTTTAGCTACCATTTTCAGCCACAACGACTTTTTTTAGCTCTTTTTTAGCCCTTTTTTTAAAGGAATTTGGCTACCATTAAAAATGCTGCGCGGCAACACTGCTTACCACATCTTCTTACTTGCAATTTTGCTTACTTCGTCAATATTTGTTAAATCTCCTTGTTGAATATTTGGCATGTTGCCTGCCTGTCTGTTCAGTGAAAATGCGGAGGATAAAGGCTGCCAAAACCACAACAGCAGCAGCAGCAACATAAAAACGCCATTTAACTGTGAACATAAATAACGAACACCAACGCATGGTCATACCAGACACATACTACATTCGAGTAAGTTTCCTATATACATACCTACACACTAAACTGGTACGAAAATTAATACATAAAACCAAATTCAATTAGGTAATAATTTGTTGATGGCTCACTGATTCCGGGCTGTGCAAAATAAGTACGTAATCATTTTAATTTACGCAATTGCGGTGGCACCTGCGATTCATGCACGTGTCCTTGTACACAAACGTTTGTGCCTCAAACTGTTATTTATTCTTACATCATTAAATTTGTTCAATCTGTTGGTAATTTACTTATAAACAAAGCAGTATGTTCACATGTTGTAATGTAAATTAAATTATTTTCAATTTGCGGTAATCTAATGCTAAAGGCAGCAACAGTTTTACGCCGCCTACGAAC